ATATATATGTATAAATATATATATGTATGTATAAATATATATATATACATATATGTATTTAAAATTTAAACTTTATATGTTATGTTCTGAATAATAGGACAAGCAGAGTCTACATTGTTATAAATGTTATCTTCCTGTCTCCTTATGCTGTGTGCTCCCAGATCCCAGGTCATTTGTGTAGGTAATAATGCACCTATAAAAAATATCCCCACATAAAATCATTCCTAGGACATATTTTGCAACCCAAGCTATATCATTATCAGTTAACATTTGTGACTATATATTAGATTTCACATATGAGTGAAATCATATGGGACTTGTCTTTGTCGGGCTTATTTCACTTAGCATAAAGCTCTCCAGAGCCATCCATGGGTTGGCTGTTGCAAAGGGTAAAATCCAACATCCTTGGCTGTTGCAAAGGGTAAGATTTCCTTCCTTTTTACAGTGGAGTAGTATTCCATTGTGTAAATGTATCACAGCTTTTTTATCTAGTCATCTACTGATAGACACTTGTACTGAAATGAACCCAATACATTCAATAAAAAGAAAAAGACATTTGTGACTATAGAATATTGGTATTTTTCCCTACATTGTCCTTTTCATTGTCCTTTATTGACTATTCATCTATACAGTTTTTGCTTCAACTGACAACTTTCCCTCCATTTTTGGCCAGTTGAAAATTATATTGTGGATATCTACTCACCATGTTTTTTAAATAGTTTCATAATATGCTAGGAAAATTGGAAATAAAAATACAATATGAATATTTGGAAGAATTTATCTTTTTAAGGATTTTTTTTTATATGTCCACTCTTTTTAAGAAGCAGTGTATAAAACTGCAAGAAAGTAATGGGTGTTTTCTTCCATTAAGTTGCTGCTGACTTGGATATTGAAGAAAATCTCTACACTGCGAAATAGTTTATGCAATTTTTCTGTTTCGGAACAGGGAGGAATATCCTTTTTATGAAATCTACACACCCTTTATTAAAATATCCGAGCGTAATTATATTGATTATGGTCTCTTCTCACATTTGAAAATGTGCTGCTGGGTGGCAGGAGCACATCCTTAGGGTCTGATGAACTGGATTTGAGTTGTCAGCTCTTATGTATGAACCTTGTCAAGTTATTCAGCCACCATGGTCCTTGCTTTCCTCTCATTTAAAGTGGTGATTAGACCTATTTCCTAAAATGGTTTGAGAATGAGTTGAGGACAGAACAGTGCCTGATATACCCTCTCTCCCCAGTTCCAGCTCTTCAGCTGCTTATATTGTTATCTGTGGGAGCGCATAATAAGTTAGTGAATAACCCAGCTGACTTAAGACTCTTTCCAGACATTCCTGTTGAAAGAGCTCTTGGGGAGCAGAATCTATAAACAGCACAGTCTGGCAACAACCTGACCATTTTATATATATTTGTTGTTCATTCCTCCAGTCAAGAAAAACATTCAGCCAGGCTTAGAATACTAGATTCACAATGACATAGGAAAGCTCAAGAATGAATAATTTTAGACTAGAGTAAAAAGCAGTTGGATGACTTGGTAAAAGCATTCATTTGAACAATATTTTGCAAAACTTAGTATGCATCAGAAATTAGCTTCCCAGATTCTGGTTCAGTAAATAAAGCCTGGACCCAAGGGATTTGGGATCATTTCTCTCATTCTCTCTCTCTCTCTCTCTCTCTCTCTCTCTCTTTTGTTAATCCTCACCTGAGGATATTTTTCCCATTGCTTTTCAGAGAGAATGGAAGGGAGGAAGCACGGGGGAAGAGGAGAGAGAAAGAGAGAGAAACATTGATGTGAGAGAGACATGGATTGGTTGCCTTCCGCCCCAGTGGGGGTGGGGTGAGGAGGGAGGGAACCTGCAACCCTAGTACATGCCCTTGACCTGGAATCTGCGATGCTCTAACCACTGTGCCACACTGGCCAGAGCTCATTTTGATCTCTTAATAGTAACCTAGAGTCAGTCCTTTATTTTCTGTAGTCTGGGCAAAGACTGCATCACAGAACCTTCAAAGTCACGCAGTTCAAGTGTGCTGCAGTACACATATAAAACAAGATATATGGAAATCAATTCATAAAAGATAATTAGTACATGTTGCTTTAGAGTAGGAAAAAAAGGATTTCCTTTAAGAATCCTTTCACAAGGTTCCTTGATATATTTTAAATATTATTTGATTTATACAAAACAAATTTTCACCTAGCTTTTCAGTAAGACACATATATAAAATAACATTTATAAATGTCTGGGAGGATGGGAGAAGAAACTAGAGTTCTCTTAAGCCCTAGATGGCTGAGGTGCTCTTTTGCTTTACGATCACTGTCTTTAATAGAAAGGTAAATGATCAACTGTGGATTTTTTAAAACATGAATTTTACCCTCAGTTTAAAAGTGTTAAATATAAGCAGTCTCATCTCACAATAAAATAATAATGCAAGCCAGAGAGACCTCTAAAAATAACCAGTCACCACTCTGGTATTTTGTTTCTTTTTGTTTTTAATTTTCAAATGTTTTTTTTCCCTATTACAGTTGATAGTAAAATGAAGCACAATTGCTTATTGTCGATCTACCCTGGAGGGTATGTCAGAGTTTTGAAAGCTGTGATCCTAGATCCCTTGCCATTGGTACGTCTCCTGTTAGGAACAGCTGTGGTGATTTGAGAAGGTAATAGAAGTAGTTGGGAGGTGTTACTTACTGCAGGACCAGCTCATCTGGATTCTTACTGTATAACCAACCCATCTGGACCTGCCACTTTTAATGGGTTACCATGTCGTTATACTAATTATTACCCAGAGTGATAAGCTGTTAAGAACTATGCTAGTGTTAAGATGTAACACTCTAGAGATTTTTCACCACCATTTTTCCTAAAAGCAAATATCTGCCAGTCCCGTTCCCTCTCCCTTTATGTACTGCCATCTACTCAGCACACCTGATTTTCTTTCTTCCTGCTTCCTAATAGTTCACATCAGCACCTATTATTATGCTTTCAGTTTCTTTACTAACTTTAAATGTTTAGTTTGAGAGATAATATCTGTTTTTTCAGTCAGGAGCAGACAAAAACAAATATATATATATATCTTTTCTCCCATATATGGTGGTTTTATTTTAGAAAATATCTTTACAGAAAGGTTTTGCTACTTCTTAGCAGTTTGGAGCATCAGACTGATCTGATTTCAAATCAGGATTGTGTGTTGAATGTTAAATTTGGACAAGTTTCCTTTCCTTTAAAGGTATAATTTATATTAAAATATGTATGGTTTTATGATTTTCTGGAACATTCAGGTGGGAGTAGGAGTAGAGACTTGATAAAAATGAGCTGATTAGTAAAATATTATTTGCCTGTTAGCATGTTTTAGCATCTATACATCAGTTTGGATAAATTATAATTCACTTTTTATTAGAAGGAGGATAGAAAAAATTGTTCTCTGTTAAAAGAAGTATAAGAATTCATGGTTCAAGAAGTACTCTGCAGAAACAAACAAACAAAAATTATGAAGGTCTCCCAAATTACCTCTGAATTGAATATGTGTTCGGTGGCACATGTGTATCATTTCCCACTGTGGCTTTGTTTTGTAACTACTCACACAGTCTCAGTTTAGATGGTCTTTGGATTCTTTTCTCGTGGTTCTCGATTTTATGCCTGTGCCTTGGGGCTAATATACAGCCACTTCCTGTGAGTAACTGTTCTGCGCATTTACAGGTGACATGGTATGTTAAGAAATCTATGACTTGACAAACTTTTTAAACAAAGCATTTTAATGTGAGAGCCCAGAGTAGCACACAAGAAAATGTTCATTTAGCCCATATATATTATACAGATAGAGGAACTGAATTAAATGAGGGATTACTGAATATGTTAAACATTTTTTGTTTTCATTCTGTTTACTATCTCTGGAAATTCTCTGGCTCTGATCAGGGAGAGCAGGCTTATATTAGTATAGTGGAGAGACTAGCAGGCTCTGAATTTTGAGAAGAATTCTACTCTACCAATTATTGGCCATGTCTTGGGCAAGTCTCAGCTTCTTTGAGACTAATGTGTCTTCAAAGGGTGGTTATGAAGACCAAATGAGATATTTTATGTGAAATGTGGTTGTAAACCTCAAAACACTGCATAACTTTATTGTTTGCCACAGCTATTGCTGTTATTGTAACCATGTTGGGTCAGATTCTGCATTTTTCAATGCCAAACACATAAACATTTCAGTTGTTTAAATAGGTGAGCATAGACAGGAAGGGAGACATGGGGACAGGGTTGTTAGGAAGACGATCAAATACTGAAAAGGACAGGTTAGAAATAAAGATTTTAGACGCAAATATATAAATTGCAAATATATGATAATGATTCCAGACACAATCTCCTCTAGCAAGTCTTTACTTCCACCCCCACTACCCCTGGACATGGCAGTATAAAAATGAAGTGGCAAATAACCCATCGTCATCATCACCATCATCACCATCATCATCATCATCATCATTTTCTTCTTCTTCTTTTCTTTTTGTTAAAGATCCTTTAATTTCAAATATGAGAAATTTCAAATTCTTAGTTTGTTTGGCTCTTACTGTAGTAAGTCCTCAGGTGCACAGAGCTAGGGTTCCAAGGTGACTGCTTCTATTTACGTTGTTCACTTTAGATGAATTTAAAATGTTGAAAGAGAGTGCTTTGCTTCAGGAAATAAAGGGCATATATCTGTGAGGCTCCCTGAAACCTAAAAATTTTAAAAGTCATTTATCAATTTGAAAATGTCTGTGAATTAAATGATGCTTGAATATTTGCAAGGCCAACTTCTAATAAGAAAAATCTCAAATGACATTTTGATTTACATAGTAAATAAAATTTGGCCTTTGATTGTAGACACACAAATAATAAACTTATAATTAATGCTATATAAATTTGCTAACTGTGCAAAGCAAATTCTCAATATAGAGGATTAAAAATACTTTGCAAGGAGATTAGAAATTTAAAAATAAAAGATTAAAATTTGACTTAAAATGACAAAAAATTTTTAATAGCAATTTATGCAAACTTTGCTACAAAATCTGGGATGTTAAATAGATAAAAGTACTGTAACATTTAGTTTCATTTAAATTAATAAGAGAGTTTGCTTCTTTCAGCATTTTGTTTTTTCTTTCTGACTTTGTATATTTTTAACAAAAATTTGCTCTACATTTTTTTTAAAGTTCATTCTTCGGGAAGCTGCTCTTAAATTTGCCAAGATAAAACCAGACTCTTGTAGATACGATTTCTTTGGAAGAAATAAAAAAATGTAATGTTTGACATTGTTTTTCACAAATTATTTCCTTCATTGTTTTTGATTGTTTGACCCCTCCCTGTAAGACTGACATATTTTCAACCTATTTTTAATGTCATAATTATAAAATGACAACAAAAAGTCATGTCTCGTAGAGCAACAGCATTTGAAGCTTGTAGTTTCGTATTAAAAAGCACACAAAAGTATGTGTGAATACCATAGATAAAATAGAATTATTTTCAAAGAGTAACCAGTGCCAAGCAAACACCAGAAACAGTTGATCATTTCAGCATCTAAAAGGTCAGGTATTCATAATTTGATTCGAATGAACTACGTAATAGAATTGGGTAATCAATATATGATCTGGGTTGGTTTCAGATTACTCTGGGTTATCTTTTCAGATAATTCGGAGGTGACTTTCATTATGATGGCAATATAAACAATTTAGAACATATTGGGATGTTCACAGATTACTCGAGTGATCAAGTCGTCCACCATGGGTCATATCTATATTGAATGAGCTGTAGATGTTTAGACTCCTCCCCCAGGAGAGAAAGATTAAAAATTCATGTATTTCCTTTGAGGTGTTTCCAAAATATAGCCTCCCATTTCTAAATGAGAAGCTGTCTTAAAAACCAGGCACATTTTGCAGTGACCAATGACTATTTTGAAGTAAACCACTTTGGGTTAAATAAGAGAAAAACTGCTCCTGTACATGATTATGCTCTATTCTCCCACCTTGGCCTGAATATAATGACATGTAACAAGTTTTTCTTTGTCACTGACAGCTGCACCTTTTAAGTGTATCAAAGTCTGTTGCTGTGGTTACGGCCTTTGTTTCCAGGGATGTTTTGTCCATGCTTCCCCCTCTACTCTTAACAGTGGGTTACTCAAAAGAATGAAATAATGAGTCATTCATTCAGAAATATGTTGTTAAAATATCCCTCTTTATCATTACATTTCACTGCTTAGAAACTAGGCTGTAATTCAAGGCAACAGTTAAGTCTGTGAAGAAGTATTAAAAAAAAAAATCTTTGATTTTTTTTTTTTTCATTTATAAGAAAAACCTGCCTATATAATTGAACTTCTTAACAAGTCTCAACAATTAAACCCTTTTTGGTTAATGTATTATTTCTGGAACAAGTAGATAAAATTCTACGCGGTAAGCATGATAAAAATCATGCATGTTTCTCACAGCACAGAATTTTAGAGTCAAGGTTCCTGGGCACAAAAGCAGTAACAAAACAGTCCCTACAAAACTGAGTAACTGACTAACACAAGAAATAATTTTTGTTAATTTAAAATTTTTAGAAACTGAAGCGTGTAGTTTGTAAAGTAAATTGTAATTAAATTATGGTACTGTACATACCAGTTCTTTGTATAATTGAATTTTACAATATGAAAAATACATTAGCTCTGTACAGTTTTTACAGATAGGTAGGATGAGTTTTTTTGGGGGAAAAAGATTCTTTTTTCAGGGAAATACTCTAAGTCAAAAAAATACTGCACAACTTAGCTAATTATAAAGTGTAGACTTGAAACAATTCATGTCTTCTTTATTTCATGAATCAATCTTGGATTTTCATTTATTTTAACAGGGGATTTTTATGTTTTGTTTTTAGAGTCCACAATGAACAGATCTTCCTCATTTTGTCCTTGAGGTTACAAAGTTTGGTGGCAACCCTTGGCTACCAAATAGTTCAGTCAAGCCAGATGCTGTTTATGGTCACTGATGCGGCCAGCTGCTGTGATTGTGCTCAGGTCCAGCTCAGTCTCTAGGTGTGTTTCCATCGTATCTTCCTGTGCATTCGTTTCAAAGGACTTGTGAGAGAGAAGTTCATGATGCACCCCACAGTAACTGATTGTGGGCTGGTCGTATGCCAGAAAGGTTGACACATTCATTGATAAAGGTATCTGGGGAAAAATGATATGAGAAAAGTCAGTTATAAAAAGATAGACAAGTTTGAGGGTAAGATTTGGAGACTGTGGAAGTGCTCACCTGACTAACCTCTATGGTTATATGGCTCAGGTGTCCCAGTGCTGTCCCACTAATGTCCCTTATTCTCATACTAAACACAGTGTGACAGTTTTAAAGTCTGGGATGAAGCTGCTCAACCTTACCTAGAACCTCCAAATAGTAACCTAAGTGGTCCTGAAAATGCTAAAATCTTTATTCGAAGAGTCAGAAAAATGCTTTTCCTCACTGGGGTAAAATTGTGGCTTTAGAACTAAGAAAACTATTACTTGGTTATGTGTGGAATACCAGACCCTCCCCCACCCCCATTTCTATCCCCTGAGTTTCTGATTCAGTTGGTCAGGGGCAGGATCTAGAATTTGCATTTCTACAGTTTCCCATATGATGCTGGTGCTGTTAACCCAGGACCACAATTTGAAAGCCTCTGCAGAAAAGAATTGTCTAAGCAGGTTATTCTGGTTCTTCTTAATATTTATTTCACATGAGAATTCTTTGAAATGTGAATGTCTATGGTTTGGTCAATATATCTAAAATTTAGGGTTTAGAGAAATGCCAGGAAGCATCTATGACTCCTATGAAGTTCTAAAAAGTATGAAAGGCTGATGCTAGTTTGAAGGAACCAGTGGTATATGTAAGGAAGAGATTGCCTTGCTAATTGCAGCTTCATGAAAAATGCAAGATCTAAAGATATGAGGAAAAAGGCAGGAGTGACCATTGTGAGCAGAAGGAAACATACATGTTACCGACAAAGGGTAGTCTGAAATGTCAGATGTCAAATTCTAGAGATTATGCCCATGTTTTTCAATAAGATAGAAGCTTGTCCTAAAAAGTAGGCAGATTTGAGAAACCCTCAGCCCTGATCTCTGTTTAATATCCTAATTTCTAATTCATGTTGTTGAAATTGCCTTGAATAAAAACAACTGCCATTCTTTTTTGATGAGTGGATAAAATACATTTGCTTGAGCATTTCAGACAAAATTCCTGATTTCAGCTAAGATTATAGCCCAAGGCTAATAAAAATAAAATGTCTAGGTTTTATTCTTTTGTTGGTTCTTTTTTCTCCATGCATACGAATCCTCTTTGCCTCCTCTTATTTCCATTTGTACTCTTCTACCCATATTTAATTTTTCTTCAATAAAAATTGGTTTAGCAAATATTTCTTTGTTTTCTCTTAATAGTATTCATTTCTTTTGAGATTATTATTTGTTTTTAATATGAAGATTTCAATGTATCAAGTATTCAGGGCTTAGTCATTGGACATAGAAATGTAGTCCAGTTCATCAAATTAAATTCCTGAGTAACTTTCTTTTTATGTGGATTCTTAAAATTTGAAGTATGCAGTTATCTGATGTATGAATAAAAGACATCATACACTTTAAAAAAAACACAAGGTGACTGAAAGATCATAAAGAAAATAATAGAATACTTCAAAAGGTGCTCATTTAAAATAAGAATTCCTGATTTTACTGTTGAAATAGCTAAGATAACCAAAATATAATGCCATGTAAAAGTAATCATGTAGCATGAATAGATTTGAGTTATAGGAGGTAATGAAAACAGAGCTGTTATTGGGTACATGAGTTTTACATTAGCCTCTGTAATGTGTTATGGGTCATATATCTGTAGGATTTTATATATTCTTATTTGTCATGGAAACTTATTGGTCAAACATGCTACATCATTCCTGGCTTACTTGGAATTAACTCTACTGTGAGTAATTTGTGATTTCCATGGTGATGATTTAGGACAAATAATAACCCATAATACGTTTATTCTATGTGTATGTGTGTGTATACCCACACAATTTACTGCTTGATTTAATATCTAGAGGCTTCTGGTACCCAGAATGTAAATACTGATTTTAACCATATCAGTTAAGCTGTTAGCTCTCATTATTTATTAAAATATCCCACATAATTTCTGTAGAGAGTTTCTTATTTTTGGATATGGCTTATTTTGAAGCACCTAACCCCGTGGTTAGACTTTTTCAATGTCAAGCATTATTATTCTATTTCTGAAACTGGGATAGTATTTATAATCAGTGTGGATATTTAACATGTTTCCCCCCCCTGCAATTGAAAGTGATTCTTAAATTAGATTAAATTTTAATATCAAGAAAATATGTATCAGTAAGTATAATTTAATAGGTAACCATATCTGAATAGAACATCGTAGTAGATTTTTCCCTGATGGACTTAAATGATTTTGAAAATCTAAGGGTTAGCACTGGATATTTTCACCTGTGTTTATAGGAAATCCCATACATATATACACAATATACATTAATACACATGTATAATTTTGTAGCCAATTACTTATGATTTCAAAATCATTTAAATCAGGTATAGAAAATGCAGATTTGGAGGATACACTAGGTCTAACAAGTATTAAATACTTGTTATCTATATAAGATATGTATGTAGATATAACACACCATATATAATATGTATATATACTGCCTGGGTAAGTGTGAAGAGGCTACCCACTGGCATTAAACAAACACCTTGAGGCTCAGATACAATCCATGTAAATCCCTTCTTGTCACCAACTCAGTAAGTGTAGCAGCCCCTTGCAGGGCGACATTGGTTCACATAACTACCAAGTGACTTTGTGCTCTTTGTTTCCTCCCCCTTTGCCAGTCTGGCCTTGGTGTATTCTCTTTATTCTCTCTGTCTCTCCATTTTCACCTGATTCATGTTAATATGCTTAATCAGAAGAGGCACACAGCCCTGATCTCCCCTATGGACAGGGTCTGCAACAGGGCAGTCCCAGTTTACACCTGCTGTTCCATTTTGGACAATAAATCACACTTAGTTATCCTACCTGTAGATGACCCAAATATGTTATTTCATAAAATGGAAATGAACAGCAGCTCTGGGTGCTTGACTAGCTAGTCAGTATGGTTCCAGGAAGGACAGGAGGGGATTGAAATCTAATGAGGCTCTGCTTTCTCAGACTTCTGTTAGGCTGCTCTGTTTAAAGCGTCCATAGAATCTTCTTGTCATAGCTTTCAGAGAGATAACAGCTTCTTTCAGGTGTATTTTAATGTAATAAACTATTTATAATTACTTATGGTTTCCTTTAGTCATTTAGGCTATTGTTTTGCAGGGGAGGTAATTATTCTTAAGGCATAACTTGCAGAGATCCAGGGATATGAAAACTTACTCTCCAGAAAGGAATATTATCTAGAATCTGAGCTAAGAAATCATTATATGTTATTCTTATAATGAGGGGTAGTTCCCCTCAGGAGAAATTTTGACTCTGCTAAACCACTTACTATCTTGACATCAATGATATTTGCCTAAGCACTAGTTTTCCAGTATCTGTCTCAATATCGATGATATGTGCCTTTTACATAGAAAAGATTTATAAAGTCAGATGAATAAAAATAACTCATTATTAATGGTCTTTTCCCCATACATATATCATTTTGAGCTTATGATTTTAAAGGAAAAGAGTAGTTTTTTTGAAGTTTCCCATTTGGAATTAAGTAAAAATGCTCATTTTAAACTATATTTATTGCATAAATATCTATGTATATTTGTACAAATATATATGTACATATACGAACATGCATATGTATTGCTCATATTCTAATTAGTTGGTTACAAGTCATTATTTTATTTTATTTTTTAAATTGCGTTTATTGGGGTGGCATTGGTTCACAAAACCACACAGGTTTCAAGTGTATAACTCAACAAAACATCATCTACACACTGCATCATGGGCCCATTGCCCAAAGCAAAGTCTCACTTAAAAATTTTTTTTTTAAATTAAGTTTTTTGGAGAGAGAAGAAAAATCACTTTGTTGTTCCATTTATTTATGCATTCATTGGTTGATTTTTATATGTGCCCTGACCATATTGAACCCTCAACCTTGGCGTATCAGGACAAGGCTCTAACCAACTGAGCTACCTGGTCAGGGCTAAAGGAAAGTCACTTTCCATCCCTATTTATAACCTCCTTTGCCTACCTCTACCTTTCCCCAGCCCCGCTTTCCCTCTGGCTAGCACCACATTGTTGTCTGTGTCTATGTGATTTTATATATATATATATATATATATGTGTGTGTGTGTGTGTGTGTGTGTGTGTGTGTTTGCTTAATCCATTCACCTTCTTTCATCCAGTCCCCCAACCCCTCTCCCCTCTGACAGCTGTCAGTCTGTTCCATGTATCTATGCCTCTGTTTCTATTTTGTTTGTCAGTTTATTTTGTTCATTAGATTTCATATATAAGTGAGATCATATGGTATTTGTCTTTCTCTGACTGGCTTATTTCACTTAGCATAATAGTCTCCAGGTCCATTCATGCTGTCACAAAAGGTAAAGGTTTCCTTCTTTTTTATGGCCAAGTAGTATTCTATTGTGTAAATGTACCACAGCATTTTTATTCAGTCATCTACTGAAGAGCACTTGGGTTGTTTCCAGATCTTGGCTGTTGGGTTACAAGCCATTTAAACATCTCTTCTGTTGGACAGCAAGGATTATTTTAAGTATAATATTCTGAGGAATAGAAAATTATAGTTTGCTTTTGAGAGGAAATTTTAAAAAGGCTATTTTTCCCCCTTTCTAGAATTGCAAAACATAGAAAATGTTTGCTTGTTAAGTGTTCTTTCTGAATAGAGTTTGTAGTAAGTATGAATATTACTGCTGATTATTCTTTTTTAAAAATATATTTTTATTGATTTCAGAGAGGAAGGGAGAAGGAGAGAGAGATAGAAACATCAATGATGAGTCATTGATTGGCTGCCTCCTGCACGCCCCTGACTGGGGATCAAGCCCGCAACCTGGGCATGTGCCCTCATCAGACTCGAACCGCGATCTCCTGGATCCTAGGCCGATGCTCAACCGCTGAGCCACGCTGGCTGGGCACTACTCATTATTCTTGAATAGAATGCTCATGCTGTTCCCATATGTCACAGAGGAAATCCTACAGTTTT